TTACCACCATACCTATCTTCTCGTTTATCTGGATCTTTCCTTCCCCCCAAAACCTTGGCAGATCGTGAGGGTAACTCCTTTTCACCTGATTCCCTACCCTCTATTTCTCATCTCTACTTCTGTCCTGATCCAGATGGACTTCTATGGCTTGTGCATGCCCTTTGTTGTTATATTTCCCGCATGGCTCTCTTCTGTGGGTCTCGTTCACATCTTTTTATCCCTTGGCAACCCTCTTCATCCATGGATTTCTGCCCTTTTACACTCATCAATTGGGTTCATCATTTGATCCAGTTGGCTTATTCCTCCTTGTCCCCTTCCCAGCATACTTTATACTGTGTTACCTCTCATAAAATCCGACACCTCACCTTTTCCCTTGCTTCTCATCTTTGTTGACCTCTGAAGGAAATCCTACAATCCGGCATGTGGACCAACCCTAACACGGTCGTGTTATTTACATCATATTTTACATCATTATTTACATCATATTGTGGTTTCAGCTTACTTGGATTTTCACCTTCTACCTATAGCTATATTCCAATCGTTGGTGTGACTCTGACACTGGATAAGTCTTTATTAATCATTTACTTTCTTTCAGGGACCCAATCTTCATATCTTCATTACTTGGATCCTGCTCAGTGGGGAGTGGTGCCTGACCAGGTATTCTTTAACTCTAAATCTGCACTTTATGCCATGTTGAATAGCATTTTCTTTCCATGGCTCTGCATACTCACCTTTGAGATGGGGTGTTTCATAATATCTTCATTACTTGGATCCTGCTCAGTAGCGAGTGGTGCCTAACCAGGTATTCTTTAACTCTAAATCTGCACTTTATGGCATGTTGAATAGCGTTTTCTTTCCATGGCTCTGCATGCTCACCTTTGAGATGGGATGTTTCACAAGATCACTTGTAGTGAATAACCTCTCAATATTTGCTTCATAAATTGGCCCATTCTGGACTGTACCACCCATGGACTTCATGGGTAAAGCAGAAGGAGATAGCTGCCCATCCCTGCCATGCCTTGGTTGAATAAATTGTTATGGTCTGCTTTTCAAAATGGGTTTTCTGATCACCCATTGCACTGTCTTGGGTGTTGACATTCCCCTGGGCTCTCCAACACATTCTCACCCTCCTTTCTTCTAGTGGAGTATGGGAGTCCTTACCACTTACCAGTTCCAAGCTGCTGGGGTGGTTGACCATGGAGGCACCCTGCTGGATGGATTCCACTTAAGATGACTGTAACCATTCAGTTCAGAGTAGAGTAGTGGTTTTCTGCCAGTGCAGATGATGTAGTATCCTCCAATTTGAGATTAAACATACAACAGAGTGAGACATCAAAATGCAGTTCACCCCTTTGATTGGGAGCCTTTTTCCTACCCTCGCATGGATGTCTGTACCCCATGGGCTGGTTTTGGTTTTCAAGGGAACCAATTAACATAAGACATAAGTCCTCTCTGGTTTCAAGTTGTCTATCTTCCTCCCTCAATTTCTCCTTCTGTGTTCTGGGTCACAGTTGAGATACATGGGACTCTTCCAGTTCTATCCTTGGCACTCCCTTGTTCTTTCTTCTTACGTGGATATTATTGCCCTCTGGATGGTTCCAACCTGTTTCATGGATAGACTTCCTTTCAATACTGGTTGTCACATTCCCGGCTGGATAGCTCAGAGCTCATCTTGTACAATACCCAGGAATTGGAGAAATTCTGAATTCCCCTGTTCTTAGGTTTTAGGTGAAGAGGGTATGATCTTCATCTTACCCTTGCATGGATGTTGGTATCCCATGAGGAGGTTTTGGATATAGTTGACTTGCCAAGTACGGTCCGCTGCACCCTAGCCACTCTACACCATGGGACGCATCCTCATTTACCCACTTTCTGATTGGGGGATTGAGTTACCATATCTTTCTTTAATTAGGATCACTTTCCTACTGCTTTCTCTCCCACTAGGATGTGCTCCTCTCATTTTCCTCCCTAATTTTTACACATTCCTTGACTGGCCAAAGAGTATACATGGATCAGAAGTGGTAAGGTTCCCCTGTCCAGATCTTCGGATCTGACTCTCTCATCTACAAGGGTATCTCTCGATTGCTTTCAGGGAGTGCGTCTATTCTTCCCTCGCACCTGTCCCTCCTCATAATCAATGTGGGATTCTAGATAATCTTGTGAGTGGAGGGAATTACCATATAGGAAGTTATAATTTTCCTATACTGAAATGTATTTCTGAGAGGTACTTCCAAGATAAGACTCCCAGTCATACTTACCAATGATCTGAATGAGACACCAAGCATATGGAGAATGAAATGAGTATTCAGTATATTCCGTACATAGATATACTGTTCAGATCACCAGATGCAGTGCCTATGAATTTCTGTGTAATTAGATTGTTGGAAAGGAGTGCTTGGAAACGTTTGTCCTTGTACATAGTTTGATTATAGAAAGCATGCAGAGAGGAGTGATGTGCCTGGGATATAACAGCCTCATAATGGAGCTTTTTACAATAAAAATTATGCAGCAGGTCTATTTCTAAAATCCATGGTCATCAAGTAGAACATGACCAGACGTGGCTGCATGTTCTGTAACAATGTGGTGAGGCTTTAAAATTATTTTGACCTTCTTGCTATGAGCATCCTTTTCTGCACATGTTACGAGGATTTTCTGAGTTACATTCAAAATTTAATTAAACTACTTTCTTGTCAAGGTATAAGAATATACTTGGCGTAAAAATATAGCTAACAATCCACTTTTTAACATTATGTAAGTTTTAAGATCTTAATCTTATAAGGCAATATTAAAAACAAATCCTCAATTTCCTCTAGAAAGAGAATTGTGATATTTGCTCTCTAGGCATCCCCTCTTCTCTAATTTATTTACCACCTCTCCAAGTGGTATGAAATTTAATGTAAATTACTCATTATAAGATTGTCATAGCTCAGGCAAAGCATAATGTTTATAGCCTTCAATCTTATTTGGGTACAGAGCCACAAAATAGAAAATCAGACCCCTCTTGCCATGCCCATCTGTCATATCCTCTCTTTCGAAATTGTCAATAGTTCTTTCTGACGTTTAATACTATATTATCTATAACCAATAGAAAGCCAAAGTTATAATCTATCAAATAACATTATATTATGTTGTTTTCTGTGCAAAGAATTGTTTATTTCACTTCCAGTTCAAATTTTATTTCCACAAGAAACAATGAGCTTAGCTGAATTTTTAACAGCTATTTTTGCATAGTTAGAAAGCCAGAAAAACTGTGATAGTTATAGGACATTGTCTGCTTATTGTGTTCTTTGGTGCATTATTTAATTAACTAAGAAAATTTTTATTGGTAGTACTATTAGTATAAAAAAAGTTTCATCGACAGTCAACAGCAAAAAAAAAGATGACCCAGTTAAGTACTATATTTCTTGTTTTTCATGTGTATTTTTTATTCATTATTACAAAAGGAACTGAAATGTAAAAACTTTTTAGGTTAGGTAATGTTAGATTACATAAAGTAAAGAATAATAATAATAATAAATTAGCTAAATTGCTAATGTGCACTGTTACCTCTTAAGACTTTACAGTCATTAGTTTAGAAATATAATGGTAAACTATTAACAATTGTTAAAAAAGTAACAGGCTTACAGCTTGAAGTGGTGTCATCTACATTTGTTGACTTAGTTTTGGCTTCATGTTTGCAGCCGTCAGACTCTCATAAATTTTCAATTGCTCTTTATTCTCAGCATCACTAACTGTTGCAAAATTGTCACTAGTGACCAAATTATAAAACTCAGTTGACACATGTTGAGCAATGTTTTTTGAGCTCTTTGGTTTTCCAAAACAAATCATTTTATTTGAGTTGGCAGTCATGTAGCAGTAGTAGAAGAAATTGTAAGTTCTTCTTCTAACTGGTTGTCTGTTCACATAAAAGAACATATTTCCAGAAGACTTGATAAATCTACATAAAGAGGTAATGAACATTTACAAAAGCCTTCATATTTGATCTTAGAACTGTAAACTTTAATCAGAATAGTCATTAAACTGGAATTTAATCATTTGGTTAGAAATTATGAAATATTGATGTCTGAACAAAATATGTAATTTTATGTTGTTTTTTTAATCATTCTTAATATAATTTAAGCTTTATTACCAGTAATTTTAATAATAATTCATAAACCAGGTAAAACAGCATCAAACATTGAATCATGAAAGAAGTATTTACATGACTTGTAACTTAGCACATAGTGACTTCTGTAATTTATCTCTAGCAATTTTAGAATCTAAAAAATGTATGTATTTTTTTACTTGTGCCTATGTAAACAGTAGGTACTTTAAAGTTTAAAAAGGAGGTCATATAAGAAAGTCCAATGAAATTAAAAGAAATTTTTATATTTACATGTAAATGCATTTTTCCTATTCTTTATGAAAGCAAAACGTTTACCATATCTAATACTCTGTGCCACATACAATTTTTTTTAAATATTAGTTAATAGTAACATTTTCAAGAAACTGTAAACACATGAGAAGAAAAAATATTGCAAAATTACTGTGATATTTTTACACTTGAAGCTTGCTTCTGTTTTTTTTATTGTTGTTTCTGTATTAGTTTAATAATTACAAAAAAAAAGATCTTTATTGTGCAAATTTTATTATATGTTCTGGACAACTTGTCTTTTTTCTGAAGATAAATAAGCTAATTATACACATATCATTGAGTTTTGAGCTTTTTCTTATTAATGGAAAGTGATACAAAGATAAGCAATTACTATTTTCCAAATTACACATGTGAGAATAACCAAAATTTTCAAAAGTTAAATTATTTTGAACATTATTTGAATATATGTAAATAAGATAGGCCAAACAGAAGTTTAAAACTGATTTTAGTATGAACCAGAAATTATAAAACAAATAAATTAGTTATATCTTTGTTTTCATATATATATTACTTATTTGTGCCATGTATCAAAACATACATGAATATGTCTGAAAATATGGTTTTAATGTTGTGTTTTATATAATAGAACTTTCCTTTTTGTCTGATGAGCATCAGTATGACAAGAATAGCTCTTGAGGTACTTCGAGAAGAACTACTAAACAAGTAAGCTAGTTAGTTACAGTTCATAGGATGCAAAGATAACATATTGCTATTATTCAAGAGGCTGCACATAATTCAATAGGAAATTTAAGACCTGAGATACAGTACTAGAAACAACCTTTAAAAACCCATGAAATTAATAAAAATATATATTGGTAAGGTAAATTTGATTTTTGGTTTTCCATACAAGAAGTGAATTTATAATTTTTAGTTATGTCACAGTGAAGTTATGTATGTGAAATATGAACAGTATGTGTAAAGTTATCATTTGCAGTAGAATGTACATTCACAGATTTATTTCATAATTCATTTTCTAAAGATTAATAAATTTCTCAGAATTACTAGAAAACTGATTTATCACAAATTCACAAAAACAAATTTATATTTTTTCTTGTAAATTTCAAGTAGATCTCTATTGCAATGCATTATTTTTCCAAGTCAACTGGACTGTTGCCAAAAAGATTTGCAACTTAGACTAATAAACAGTGTGTACACAGAAACTGAGCCATAGTGCAGATATTTCATTGAATAGACTTACAGATTACCAGACATTTGTGATTCTAGCCTGATTTACTTATCCTTAATTTATGTAATTTGTTTTGAAATTTTTATCTTTGTTGCCAAAGTGGCCATTAAAGTGCCATTATATTGTTTTCATAATGGTTATTTGTATAAGAGTGCTCATTAACTAGATGTCTGTAATGTATGAAGTTATAACATTCAATAGTTGTCAACTTGTGTATAAAAATTATTTTTCATGAAATTTAATAATTAAAAATTGTATTAAAACTTAAAAATTAATGTAAATATTATGTATTTAATCCCATTGCAGCTTATATATTGTTAGCTCTGATGATCACATACATTCCCAAGATATAGTATTCTAATGAATCAGCTTGTGATAATTGAAATAACAAGTAATATAAAATCTATTTACAATACCTTTTTGATTTCTTAGAAGCATGTGAGAAAATTCTTGATGTGGTTAAAATTAAAATTATGAACATATAACTTAAGTGGTATTACAATACTTAGGCTACAGGATTGATTATGTTGTATTAAACAATTTTGAATGTCACAGTTTAATGGAATATATCAGAATTACATTTTGACATTGTTTGACATTTTGTAGGGTGTAATGTCACAAAAATTTGAGCCAGGTAGCACACAACATAATCAGGAAGGATCTCTATCTATAAACAAGGCCAACAAGGTATGGGCTGACCAAGATAAGGCTTTCAGTCTCATACCTCTCATTCAACCATTGCATATCTCAAGTAGCTATAGAATGAAATGGGTATTCCATACAAAGACATAATATACTAGTCAAGTCTCCAAATGCAGCTCCTGTAGTATTTCTGTGTGAGCAGACTGTTGAAATGGGTGCTGATAAACCATCTTCTTCCTACACTAAATATATTATTGAAAACATGTAATGAGGAGGGCTGTGCTTTGGGCATGACATCTTTATGACAGAGCTTTTAGCAATTAAAACTAAACTACAGGGTTATTGTAAAGATGTATGGTTGTGAGATAGAGCATGGCCAGATATGGCATAATTCATAAAATATAAATAATAGAATAATCAACATTTGAATACAGTTTAAAACTGAGTTTAATTAAAGATATATCACAGTAACTTACTACCTGTTTGATTTTGTGGTCTCTTAAAAGACAGAATTGGAACCTTTTAAATGTAAACTTAACAGTTTGCTTTGAATTGAGTTGAGTTCCTTTAACAACACTGTAAAAGTAATGTCATCAACAAAATTAATCTGTTCATATAATAATGAAATCATATTATTGTATTACATGTTACTTTTTCTTGAAACATTCACTAGTCTCCATTGCAGCATAAGAAAAGTGTTATGATATTACATCTTAAAACATCATTTTTCTCAAATACTATCGCAAACTATCCAAGTGTAGTTTACTTACTTTATCAGCAAGTTACCATGGTTTTATCCTATTCTTCTAAAATCGTCTATTCCTTTTTCTCTCTTTGTATTTCCTAGAATCATCTATCTATTTTAAAACTTAAGAATTAATGTAACTATTATATATTTAGTCCCATTGCAGTTTATATATTGTTAGCTCCGATGATCACATACAGTTCATATGTTGAACAAGAGGCTAATTCAATTACTTTAGAACTCTTTTTGGTGAAATAAACTATTCTTCTTATCTCTTTCAACACCGTTAATCTCACTCAAATATAGCAACCATTAGGCTTATATTAATCCTATGACAATTAACTTTTTGTTAAACTTTTTTTTGGCTAAATTCCTTCTCATAACTTTACTTCTCGTCTGCTCTGTCTTTGTCTGTCTATATAATTTTCCCGCCAATCTCTCACACTATTTATATGTTTATTACTTAATTGTCTGCTCATTATATCCTCAACATCAATATATTTCATGTGATGTTCGATAATCTCGACATCAATGAGTTACAAAAACCATGTAAAACTCTTACCGAGTTATGTAACTAAAATTGTCATAACATTTACTTTAAAATAATTGTTTCTAATTCTCTTGTTATGAACAAAATTAAACAATCATAAAATATTCACTCACAAAATAAATCAATTAATAATATCTACACTAAACATTGTTTTATATCATGACAGAAACATTACTGCTCAGTTTTCTTACTTTAACTTTCAAATTAACTTCCTTGTTAAGAGTGTTATGAGAAAAATATTTTCTGTGCTTTCTATCACAAAGTTGGTCATGTTGTACAACATAAAACTTCAAAAACACTAAGCATTGGCCAATTTGTTGTTGATATGAAAATGCTTCAAACAATTTTTGACTTTATCAAGAAAAAGAAAAATAGATCTAAAAGTAAACCCTTCTTTCTGGATTGAAAACTCCGTAAATAGTAAAAATGTTGAGTATTCCTTAACTCTCATCTACCAGGACAATTCAGTATTTTACAAGTTTTTGGTTGTTTATGTTGCTAGAAAGGATCAAATTTACCATCTTGTAGTACCCTGAAATGCCAGATTTAGACTAAATTATTTCCACTTGCATTTTTATAGGATTCTCCAGTCTTTTGTTTCAATTTTTTATTATATCCTAAACTAGATGCTTTACTTTGTTTTGAAATAGGATTTCTAGTATTGTCACTTAACTCTGTAATACGATGAGCTATTTTACTTTAAAATAGCACACATTCATTTGAAGATTATGTAATGGTCTAAAATGCACATGTTGCTATAATCAGGATTCAACAACAAAAAAAAACAATTTATTCACAATAACAACACTTAGAAATATTAATAATTAATTAATATTAATAAACAATCTATCATAAATATTAATAAATCAATAATAATGGAATCAGGAAAAGAACCAGAAAGAAAAACTTAATTATAAAAAAAAAATACAGCAAATACAATACTCCAACAATACCTTTCAATATCAATAACAATATCGAGTGACAAGCAGCAATAACTATATCCTTTAATAGCTATCTCATGATCCTCTCTCTCTTAGTGAAGCTTCTGGCAGGGTATTTATTCACAGAGTAGGTCACGAGAGTACAACCTCATGTAATCATAAACTTACATACTCTTCTGCTACATTAATAGTATCTGTACGTCACCACTGGGGAAGTTGGTGTCAGTTTCATCAAACACACATATATTCACTCAAAATACAAATGATTATGTGGAAGATGAGTTAGCATTTTAATGCAACTAAAAATTCATAGATAAAGTAAATGATAGAATTTGCTATCTCACAATGAAGAATGTATGTTCCTTTGTTAGCATATGTGATTTGTTTTTCACAGTTAGCTTCTGTGTTTGTTGAAACATACCCAAATGTAGTTCATTCTTGTTTCATTCTCTTATATTTTGTCATAAAAAACTGAGTATGCTATATTAAAATGATTTAGAAGTTTCACCTCATCATTACAGTTCAAGTTGCCATATCTAGTCATGCTCTGTCTAATGACTATGTAGCTTGATCATATCCCTACAGCACTGTTTCCATTGTAAAAGACTTCAACATAAGATTGTCATGTCACAAACACACCACCCCACTCTGCACACTTTCCATTATTCATCTAGCATACAAGGATGATGGATTCCCAGGGCCTTTTTCAATTCAGTCTGATCATATAGAAATCCATAGGCACTGCTCGCAGAGATTTGATCTGTGTTTCTGTTTTGGAATAATATGAATACCTATTTTATTCTCCAGTTGCTTGAGATATGCAGTGGTTGAATGGTGGGGTATGAGACTGGAAGCCTTATCTAAACCCATATCCTCTTGGTCTTGTTTCTGTACAAAGCCATTATCTCTGTGTGGTACAAAAGATTCAGAACATTGGTCTCATAGTAAGCAGACTTCACCTTGAACTTCGTATCCACTCTCCTGAAACTTAACTTCCATCTAAGCACTGTCTAGGAATAGTCATGAATCCCTTTGAAAAAGTTTCACAGCATGCCATATACTACTTCTGGAAATTTTTTTACTCACTGCCCTGCAGTTGATGCATAAGATTTTTTACAGTTTTTAAGGTACAAGGTTTTGTCAGGTGTCACCATATACTACAATTTATGAACAAGTTATAAAATTGCAATTTATAATATTATGTATGTTTCATAGTAAGGAAATATTTTGTAAGATCCATCTAATAATAAAGAGTAATTATTTTAAGATAATTTGTTATTTTGAAAGTATATTCTACTTTCATCTCTGCCACTTATGGATAGTATTGCTTGTAATAACTGTTTCTAAATGCCCATTTTACAGTTTTTTTTAATATTGTACCCAAACTATATTTGTAAACTTTGTTCATGCAGAGAATGTAATCAGAGAAACCAAGTGATGTTAGTGGTGAATGAGTTTTATGCAGGGACCTTCTTTCACTTATATCAAACATGGAAGAAATACCACAAGACCATCATAGATACTGGTTATGTTATCAAAGGTAGGATGTTAGAGGATTTTAAATAGGCTGCTAGTCAGTGTCTAACATTAAACAATGTCTTATTTTTATTATAAAATGAGTATGAATGAAAAAGTTTATTACACTTATCATAATACATTAGTAGTCCCTTAGGGATTTTGAAGAATTAGAAGAGCATATAACAATAGCATTCCAACTACACTATGTTTGCATTATCCATTCAGGGTTCCCATGCACCCTGGAAAATGATAAATATTTATTCCA